TCCATCTTCTCTGCCTTCAGGGAGAACAAGAGTGACAGTTTTCCCTCCCCCCTGCTTCTGATTCTTCTCTTTTCTGGTTGTTTTCTTATTTGAACTTGTTTCTTCCACATGTCCCTATAAACACGGTGAAGAAACAAGCTGCTGTGACTGGCATGCTTGGCTTAGGAAAAGAAAAGAACGGGATGTAAGAAAACTGCTAACGCAATGGCGGATGACGTGGGGGATTGGAGCAGCCAGGGATTTATAAAAGCCAAAACAATGATGCAATTACCTGTAATGTAATTCAATCTAATTTTGGACTCATTCAAGCGCACCTAATGTTGCTTTGACTAAGTAATGTCACAGTATTTTGCTACAGTGTATTCATTTAATGGCATCACAAATCTATATATATATATTGCTGTAGCTCCTGCATTGATTAAACTGGTACTTAGTGATCCATCACATCTATGTTCATATCAATACTCTTCTAATGCATTTGAACAATCGGTCCTTTAAAATAGATCTGCCATTAAGACAATGTTCTTATACTGAAGATATAGCATTAGCATTTACTCTATCTTAACATTAAGTGTTACTTGTTAGATGCTTCTATCCAAAGTGACTTATATACTCAATACTGTGGACAATCCCCACAGGACTAATTTGGGGTGAAGTGTCTTGCCCAGGGACACAACGACATGCTGACTGCAGTGGGGTTTGAACCTGTGACCAGGGCCTGCCCTGACCAATTTGCCGCCCTAGGCAAGATTTTAGCTGGCGCCCCCCCCCCCCCCAAGTTAAAAGCATCAATCTGCAGCACTTTGAGAGCAACATTAAGAGATCTATGGATACATCTCTCAACACCCAGATGAAACAGAACTGGAAGTAGATTTTCTTTTTCTTTATGGATATTTTACTAATCACTCCCCTTTTAAACTGTATTCTTGTTTATTATTAACAACTTTATTTTACTGTCATATAGTATGTTATACCATAAGAGAATAGACGAAAATCTATTCTCTTATTTTTTTATAGCTATAATGATCATATAAAGGCGTGCCTTTACCTCACTGAGCTGAGGTTATCAGAGCCTCTCAGTCTTTCAGGAGAGAGCTCTGTAAAGCTCTCCCCCCCCGCGGCCGCTTACACAGTAAATTCCAATGTTAATAAAAGCTGTATACATTTTTTGGGAGTTTGATTTATTTAAAATTAACACAAAAGCAACATTTAAAACCTATAATTGCACACTAAAACAATTATTTCAAAAAATAACTATTTCACATAAACCTCTGGTTTTTACTGGGGCTGGGGCAGTTCAACTTGATTTGGGGGTCGCCATAGTTTATACGCGCTGTACGCAATATAGGCGTAGTTCTGTTAGTATAATATAATAGATGTCTTTGTTGATCCAAAATCGAGAAAATTCGTGTTGTTATGAAATAAAAATAAATAAATAAAAAAATTCTAACTTTATTTTTTTTTGGCGCCCCCCATTGATTGATGCGCCCTTAGCATTCGCCTATACTGCCTATGCCAAGGGTTGCCAACACCAACGATACTAGTCCACTGCGCCTCACACTTCCCTTAAGTCATACTTACTTGCCACGTTACTGTAGGTGTGCGCACAAGTTGAATATATCATCTGTATACAACACATAGTTTTGCTTGTTAAAAAGCACAATTCCCAGGTTGTTGTGGAAGGTCACCTTAAAAATGTCATCCCCAGAAAACAAGTTTCAAAAGTTATATTAGGAGTAAACCAACATTTTCGAGCACACACTTTTTTGTCTCATAAGTTGTATTGACCTTCTCAAACTCGTAAAGCAAAGCCTTATTCAAAAAATTTCGCACTGCTGCTTCAAGGTATTTGAACTTAAAATAATTTGTGTTTCTCCTTTTCTCTTTGTGCTTATGAATCTATATTATGTTGTTCGGCTAATGTGATGGGAAATAAACACCTTTTTCACTTCATGATGACTCCTCATAACAGGAAAACACAGATGAAACAAATCACCTTATTACCCTGTCAATGAAGGATGTGAACACCAACATTTTCATTAAGAAAACTTGCTTACAAGACTCTCTATGTATATACATCAAATTATAATACACTCATACCAGTATGAAACAACTGCATTGATGTCTCTCTGCACTATAACTCAGGACTTTGTCTGAAGTACTTCCTGTATGTTTCTCTTTTAAAACAGTTTTCCATATCTCCATTGGGCTCATACTCCCTGTGTTTTCTATTACTCTCTTGGTATCTCTGATGTTCTCACTTTCCCAATTTCTTTCCCAAATGGACTAGCAGAAAAGAAAAGACAAAAGGGTGACACTGACAAATGGACTTACTTTGTCCGGCCCTCTTATGTGCAGCTTCCAGGTGATTAGATACACTGAGTGGGTTTTTGACCAAGTGACCGGCCGGGCCGAGATAAATCAGTTTACTGTGAACCGCAATCTCTCTCTAAGGAACCGGTTGTTTACAATGTAGTTTTATCAGTGTTTCTTTGAAATGTATGTTTTAGTCGGAATTGTATACTAGACCTCTGTCTACATTTATAGAGTTAGCATTTCCCTACATTACTACCCATGAGTAATCTTACAATAATACTATCGTATCCACTTGTTACATACGTGTTACTTTCTTGAGCTTGAGTCTACATTTTCCCATTTAGCAAGTAAAATAAAAATACATTACATGTTAGAGGCTTTTATCCAAAGCAACTTACATACTCAATACTGTGGGCAATCCCCACAGGAGCAATTTGGGGTGAAGTGTCTTGCCCAGGGACACAACGACATGCTGACTGCAGTGGGGTTTGAACCTGTGCTCCCCTGATCCGAACACCAACACACTAGTCCACTGTGCCACACGCCTCAATAATCGTGTCATTGAAGTTTTGGCAGATGACGTGTCTTTTGGGGATTATTTTCTGACACAAACTTGGATTTCTTCCTGTGGGTGTTGAATGACAGTAAGTAGAGCACAACTGATCTGAAAACACTCATCTGAAGCACCATGAAATCAAGCATACAAATTGTAACTTTGGCAAAGTAAAAGCCTTCATGTTAAGTGCGAAGGATTACAGTTTCCAGTGAAAGTTGCTGTAGGCGTTTCCATAGAGTGAGCATCAACAGGTAAAAATGACTCAGATATCTGTGACTACGTTGCAGACACGAGTTGGAGGAGTCTGTTCAGCCGGAAATCAGTCAGAACACTGTGTCTCGGCCTGTCACTCAAAACCATGAAATAAATATTTAACTTTTAAGCAATCCGTAGTTCCCAAAGCACAGTAATAATTATTTAATTTTAAGGATACCTCTTCCTCTTCCTATTGAGGGAGGATTGAAAGACATATTTAGAATATCAAATCTTGCTAAATATTCTTTATGAATGTATTCAGGGGTCTTTGTAACGTTAAGAGAGACTGCAGCAAATCCACATCAAAAACTGTGAAGCCTTGTGAAGTACAAGTGGATATTTGCATAATAAAAAAAACTAATGGAGCTACAGTGTGTGCAGGTTGATATATTGTCCCAATTGATGTCATATCCCAGTGTTGGTTGGATCAATCCAGGGTGTGGGAAGAAGTGAAAGTAGGGAAGAAGTGAGATTACAGACCTCTGCAGCCCGCTCTTCATCTCTTCTTGAGGCTAGCCACCTGAGGATACATTAGCCACTATTAGCAACATACACCAACATCTGACTGTACTGAAGCTGGTCCAGTTGCATTGTGGTATTCTAAGATGAAGGTATTGATGAAGGAAAAAAGCATATGAAAAAATATATTTCTTATAGTGATGTGACCAACAGTAAAATACGCTTTGAGTGACAGGTGGGTGTTCTCACAGGTCGCAAGCTGCTAGCGAACATCTACGGTGCTCCACATCTTTAGTGTAGAGTAAGGCGGTGTGGGGACTGCACTTTAAACTTCAGAACGGCTCTTTAGAAACCAAAGTGTATCGTCCAAATGTTTTATGTGCATCACCGTATAACACTCACTATACTGTAGGAGCAAACAGATCTGCAAAACAGTGTAAATCATTTTCTGAAACACAGATTAGGGTTTTTACCAATTTTAAAGGGGACCTATCATGCAAAATGCACTTTTTGATGTCTTTAATACACAACTATGTGTCCCCGGTGTGTCAGGGAACTCACGCAGCGTCAAAAAATAAAACCCTTTCTCTTTTCCTCCTTACCCAAATATTTTTAAAACGGGGGTACAACGAGCGGATACAGATTTGCTGCCGATATTACGTAATTTCGGATGGCGGACCCACAGAAAGTTGCTATCAGAAACAATGCCTGACGTGTTTTGGACGTAATCTCGTCTTTGTTTACATTAGCAAGCCTCGCTAACACTCAGAGCTAACCTGTACTGGAGAGCACATGTGTTTAAAAAGCAGGAAATAAAAAAAGGAACTCACCTTGTGATAAACCCGCAAGAGAAAAAGCATTTGAGCTCCATACTGTTTCAGAAATAATCCTTGATTTTGTTTAGAACAGGATGGCGTTTTATCACAGCAGAATTTAACTTTATCTCCGGTAGAATTCTGATCAGGCATTAGCTCCGCCTCCTCTTTTCTTTTTTTTCAGGCTAAGGACCCACAATCCGCGTTTCTCTAACAGGGCTGCAACAGAGGGGTTTGAGCAGTATGAGGCATGGCTACAATGGGTGATCTGTTTGGTATTTTAAGCAAAAAACTTCACAGACATGTTTTGTATAGGTATGGCCCTACAATATCTTTTTCCAATATAGCATGATAGGTCCACTTTAAATGCAACTGACCATAATTGTCATCATGTTAACTGAGGCTATTTTAGACCGAACGTCATCGTCTAGCAAACCTGATCAAACTGCTCCCAGAGAGTACATTATTTTCAATGTTTTGATATTCTAATTTTCAACAACTCAGCTCCAATAACTCTACTTCAATCATAAACACACATGCTACATGTATGTGATAGAGAGATGCTTACTCCAACGATTGCTCAAAATGACCCAGATGTTTAAACACATTTGCACATACTTTATGCACATTGAAGAAAAGTAGACTTTTGTACAATATCTCACTAAATATATTTACATGACATACAATTCGCCATCAGTGCAATACATAGGAATGTTGCATATTTACCAAATGTTACTCTTTCCTTTATGAAGAAAATAAATTCCAATGACAGAAGCTGATATAACTAATGTGTAAAGTAACATGTGCAACTTTCATATTGGTTAACAGCTTCACAGGAAATAAAAAAAATAAAATCTTATTACCACCCTATCAATAATCATATATCAAGCATTGAAAAAGTAATAGATCACATGTACATATTTCATCATATATCATACATGTAATGGATTGCTTTTGTACAAATATTTTATATAACTTTGGCAGTTTATCAGGAACAAAGTTATCGGAAAAATATGAAACAATAATATCAAACTGTCAGTAATGTCATGTAAGCTTGCCTTCCAAAGCTCATGTTCACAGTGGTCATTCAGAAAGGCTGGAAGCTGATGGCCAAAAACAAGGAACAAAAAGCCCGAAAAAAAAAAGGAAAACATTTCCATCCTTTCTGCTAAGACTGTTAGCACTGGAGGCTGTCGTCATTGTTGTCATGGTTATAAAATTACAAACACCTATGAAGGTTTACATAGCAGTCATCGCCATTTAAAAAAACATGGTCTATTTTCAGGTCGACTTAAAATACAAACAGTTTGAAGGCAAGGGGACAGGACCCTGCTCGGTGGTCACTGTGGAATCATGGGAGAGACATGACCGAGAAGAGGACATGCACAACAGTGCTGTGAGGAAGAACGTGAAGCCAAAAAACGAGGGTGCAAAATGAAAAGACTCTGCAACAATCAAAACGCCACACTGTCAGAAAATGACTTACACCGGACAAAATAATCGAGCAAATTTCAAACATACTAAGTTCACCATAATTCATATACGTTGGTTTTGTTCTTTTTTTCACTGGTTTGGCACTTTATTGGAACAAATTTCTGTTCAAAAAGACTAAATGTTGTACAAAAGGTATTTCATGTCTCGTTAACATAACTCGTAGAATATAGTACTTAATAGTAAGCATACGGTAAGTAAACACTTGTACATACTGTAGTTTTTAAAATGAACATTCCAACAGATGTTTTACGCACATGCACAAAAACAAACAAACACAACTCTCTCTCTCTGTCACTGTCTTGCTGCCTCGCCACATGTGGGCCTCCTGCGCTTCTCTTTGGACATTCTCCAGCTTCTTTTCAGAAAGAACATCTGTTGCTACTGCCCTTTCTCCTTCTCCCTTTTCTATTCATCTTCCACTTAAGACAACACAACTCTTTTAATACTGCGTTTTTTGCTGCACATTACGACACTTCCTCCGCCGAGCGTGTGTCCGTCTTGAGACGCACAAACTCTTTGGCCACCTCGTCGGTGGTCCTTTGAGAGAGTATCCTCATGATGGTGAGGCCGGTTTCGTCCATGGAGACGCTCTTCACCAGCGGGTAGTTTGCGGAGCAGCTGCCATTGTCCGCCAGCTCTTTGAGCTGAATCACCGTCATGCCGATGATGCGGTCGTCGCGAGCAAAGCAGTAGTCCTTCACTGAGACGTGGAGCTCGTAGACCTCCGGACCGTGTTCGTTACTGAGAACACTGCGGAGGAAAGACACCGAGAGATCAGAGAGGGGACAAATATTATGTTCGCAAGCAAAATCAGGGCTGTTTTACTACACTGCAGTACTAACCCTAACCCTAACCCTAACCCTAACCCTAACATGTCACCCATTGAGCATGTTTGGGATGCTCTGGATCGGCGTATACGACAGCGTGTTCCAGTTCCTGCCAATATCCAGCAACTTTGCACAGCCATTGAAGAGGAGTGGACCAACATTCCACAGGCCACAATCAACAACCTGATGTAACCCTAACCCTAACCTTAACATGTCAGTGGGTGACATGTTAGGGTTAACCCTAGGGTTTTCGGACCCCCCCAGACCCCCCCAATAAAGCAAAACTGCACGTTTCAGAGTGGCCTTTTATTGTGGCCAGCCTAAGACACACCTGTGAAATAATCATGCTGTCTAATCAGCATCTTGATATGCCACACCTGTGAGGTGGGATGGATTATCTCGGCAAAGGAGAAGTGCTCACTATCACAGATTTTTTCAGACTTGTGAACAATATTTGAGAGAAATGGTTATTTTGTGTATATTTTGAGTTCATCTCATGAAAAATGGGAGCAAAAACAAAAGTGTTGCATTTATATTTTTGTTCAGTGTAATATAACAGGATATTAAAAGGAGATGATTCAACCTGGATAATAGAAAAGTCAGTTACCATTTCAAACTGTCAAATGAGTTGAAAGTCACTTAAAATGAACTTGACGTTATGTAATTTTTTTAAGATGGGTCAAATTAAACAAAAAGGCCAAAGTGTCACTGAGGAATTGTTCATGGACACACACAAATTGCTTTTGGATACTGACATTTGGATTTCTTGGAAGCTGGATATAATGTCAGTAAAAGTTTCTGGCTGCGGGACAACTACCGAAAAACCTTCTTAGTATCTGTGTGGCTGTGATGAGTCGTTTCAATCATGCTTTGCAAGTGAAATGAATCGCTCTATTCAAATTCTTCTTTGTTTCAAACCATCTTTTTGTTTCAGGATATTTTCTGATATCCCCAGCAACTTTTACGACTTCGTAAAAATTAAAATGACATGCCAGAAGTGAATCCAAATGCAGACAGCCCTGAGCCTGCACTGATCGTGAAGGCGTTGCTTCATCTCGCACTAAAAGCGTTTAAGCTGTGTGACTTTAGTTGGATCGGCTCAGAATGACAGTGGTAAGGAAGAGACAAGCCTAAAGATTCATCAAACCGTCTCTTCACTTCCTTCAAGAGTTTCAAAGCAGCAAAAGTGTCGGTAAAGCAATTTGAACTCCACTCACAACCTACGACTACTGGAACAACTTTTGGAGTAATGTATTACAGGTACAATGTTTGATGTGGGTTGCTGGAGGAAAGACTTCAGTGTGCAGAAAGCATACTGAACACTTCTCTGAAGATACTGTTAAATGGTTATGGTACAGGGTGTCTCAGAAATTGGATTTTTAGGTTGTACAGTATGTATAAGCAGGAACATGCTACACAGTATTAATCAGGCTTGGGGAGTCCCAGATTATTTGTAACAGGATTATGTAATCAGGGTACAACGAAACAGGTTACTTTATTCACTTAAAGTTACATAAAAAAAATGAGTGAACAGATTATTGGTACATTTTTGCTCATAGTGCTGCCTGAATTTTCTTTATGTTTTTCATTTTGGCTGCTTTTATTCGTTTAAAAAAAAATATTAATTGTTTTAAATGCAGTAGGTGGACAACTAATTCAAACAACAATACTGTGTTAGCTTTTATTTCTTGTATTAAACTAACACAGTATTTTTAAACCATACTATTCTGTACTGTAGGTCTATCCCATAATTTATATATTTTATTTTATAATAATTTTATATTAAATATATTGCTTTCTTCCTGGTTACATTATTCTGTTGCATAAGACACTTAAGTACTTACTTTCATATTGTGATACTTATTTTAAGTTACTAATAATATTTTATAACATGTAACTAATTATTGTAGCATAATACATTTTTTAAGTAACCCTCCCATCCCAGGTAATAATCATAGGTGCTTTTAACCCCTTGACGCCTGAATTTATATGCAATTATGTAAAAAAAATTATTTTATGTGTTTTTGCTTTCAAGCAGATGCTAAAATAAGTGGAGATTATTAATTTGAATTTAGCACATAGAATAGATATAATTTTGGGTATGATGCAAATTAGCGACAACAGGCATTAATGGATAAAATAGTAATTAAAACACATTTCCCATATCAGGCATGTAATTCATTTTATTGATGCCAACAAATAATTTAAATATAAATAGTATTCATTTCANAACTAACACAGTATTTTTAAACCATACTATTCTGTACTGTAGGTCTATCCCATAATTTATATATTTTATTTTATAATAATTTTATATTAAATATATTGCTTTCTTCCTGGTTACATTATTCTGTTGCATACTGTAAGACACTTAAGTAAAAAAAAACCCCATTATTTTCTCTTGTTTTTTGCATTTGATATTCTAACGGAAAGTAATCAGGATACATTACTTTCATATTGTGATACTTATTTTAAGTTACTAATAATATTTTAAACTAACTATTAACTAATTATTGTAGCATAATACATTTTTTAAGTGACCCTCCCATCCCAGGTAATAATCATAGGTACTTTTAAACATGCCCTAATCTTTGCCTCCTTTCTCCTCCCCTCTGTAACGAACACTCAGCACGGTGACTTACTATTGGAATGTTTCGTTGTACTTTGGTGACCAGTTGTTATTCTTGGTCTTGGTGCTGAATTTGCGCTTCTTGTCAGCCAGGTGCGGTCCCACGGCGTTGACCTCTACAAACGGCCGGAACATGGCGTTGGTCTGCCAGATGAGGTTGTTCACAGCGACCACTGAGAAACACACAAAAATATTTATCAGAAGTGTAGATAAGGTTTAAGGTAAAGCGGATCCTCGTCAAACATTAGCATTGTTTAAATGTATTCTTGGCCCTATTATTGGAAGTGTCTTTATCCTCTTCACCAAGATGATTGTCTGACTGTATACACATTTATATTTTATGCTGAGATGCTTTCAGAGCAAGTACAAAACAATTTGATAGCAGATACATTTCCACCTCTCTGGAATATTATTGGTAATCTTAAAATGTAAATGCCTGTGAGTCAAATTGCAACATTATCATTATATGCAGAACATTTAGCATGGTCGATACATCTACCATGAAAGGCTGAGATACTAATGCTGTTTTTTATTTCTATTTTGGTCTGTTATGGTTGTCAAGGGAAAATAATAAAGAAAGGCTAAAGTGCATCTTGTCAAAATAGAAACATCCATCTATGATTGCTATAGTAACCTTGCTTGTCATGTAACTGCTGTGGGCTGATTACAGCTGATTGCCAGCTGCAGTGCGTATGGTGCGACTTCGGGAGGGGGAAGGGAAATCATTGGCATTGATGAGTCTGATCGTTGTCGCCGACATTTAGGAAACAAAGATCAGGACGATAGGAGAGTCATAGACGCAGGTTTTTGGTTGTAACAACATTGATCTGCTGATGTCGCTAGATGTCATCAAGATTCCTAACTGCGAAAACGTTCTCCTAATCCATCATGTAAATGTGGAGTTATTTGAGTGGATAAATTAACACCTTGACAAACACATTTTCTTGCCACTGCTAATGCCTTTGTACAATTCTGTCTCAATACATCCGTAAATTGTCAAGATATTTGATGAAAAGCCCCACATTTTAAACTGTTGGTGGTACTAGCGTTGCAGGTAAAAACACTTTTCCGAGCAATAAATGATAAGTGACTTCCTCAGTGACTAAAAGAATACAAAACGAGACCTACTGTATATAGTTAGTACAACCCCAGCTGTGTGTTAATGTCCTTATTTTCTGTTCAAAGCAGACATTTATAACAATGCTGCTAATCATGGCGCAGCAGCACTATGATATACATGAGATTACCGCCATGAGCTGTCCATGCTCTGTCTTTGAACATGTGCAGGTGTTAACACTATTAAACAGGAATGTCACAAAGTAAGTCTGAGTAAAGGTGATGCTCACCCTTCACGCTGACTTTGTGCTCTCCAGTGCCAGGGTGAGAGATGAGAGTCACTTGCATCGACACCTCCCCCACGGATCCGTTGGATGACTGACCTGGACACACACCAAAACAACAACAGGAGAATATAAAAGAGGCTAAATAGAAATCACAGAGAATGGAGGAGTGGCAGAGAGGGAGCCAGGGATAGAAATAGTGGGATCGGGTAACCAAAATAAAGCCCGAGTGAGAGAGATGGAGAGAGGATGAAAGGAAACAATCCTAAACTGTAGGTGCAGCTTTTTTCGTGGATGAGGTATCCAGAAATTGATCCAAACAGCGGTGTATAAACAGCTCTCTGTGTCAAAGCTGAAAAACTAAACCCAGGGAAAAGGAAGGGACTTGGTTTCACCCCTATTAGAGCCCAGTAGCAACAAGAGCCAGGGTTTACTTTCGCTTGAGGCTGAACAAGTAAAACAACAAGGAGAGAAAAAAGAAACATGAAGTAATCCGATTGGTTTGAAGGCCACGGAGGAGGCAGATGGTGTGAAGGGAAACGCTCAAAAAATAATGTTGTGCTCAGTGAAATCATCAAACCGTCCAAGTCGACAGAAGCACAATCAAAACATTGGATTTGGATATATTCCAAATTAAAGCAAAACAACGTACAAGAAAGGAGAGAGAGAGGAAAGGGGAGTGTGGGCATAACACCTCGCGCATCAAAATCAAAGGTTTAAGCACACAGGGACATGTTTCTGCCAGAAAACAATTTGATTTCTGACAATGTGTCTCACTTTGCTCGATACAGGGCTTCCTGACTCGTGTTGCATCCCGCCCCGGGACAATAAGATATTGAACACTGGACGGTGTGCTGCTGATGTGGTTGGTTAAAGAGCATGATCCGATATCTTATCAATATGTACCGAACATGCGGTGCCACTTATAATAAAGGGTAATGAAGAAAGAAACCTCCTGATTTATTGTAATGAGGCCCCGAGAGGCTGAGTGCAAAAAAACATTTCTGCTGCACAATTAAGCCCTGGACTTTTGGGAAATGAACCGAGCAACGGCACTGCACATTTACTTCAGCTACAACTGGTTGGAATAGTTTTAAATAAATAGATTTTGTATGTTTTTCCCGGACACCGTCACCGACACACAGCAGATACTCGAATGGGGGGTTTAAGGGAGAGCTGATTGAGAATAAGAAGAATGGCACATAAGGTAGATCATGGAGAATAAAAGCAGATACATCTGTGGGGGCAGAGAGTCAGCAGGTAAAGTGAGGAAAAGGCTAACAAAAGGACAGAGTAGTAACTGATAAGAGGGGTGAGTTGTAGACATTCATTGTTGCAGAGTTGCGGTTAATTGATTGAAAGTGTTGCCCTTTTCTGTCTCCAATAACCTAGAAGTTAGCCTGAATACACAGAAAGTGAGACATCGAAAGAAGATTCCTTTTCAGGCTGTAAAACATTTGCTGTATGAACAAAGATGATAGAACAAAGACCATCTATAGGGCATTGTGAGGGCATCCATAGTGAATTATCTTGCTTTCCTAATGCTTTATAACTACACTAATTAGTATATATTTTGAAGCCATAAGGATGCAGCAGTGATTTATGTAAATGCATAAAAAGCATTACACTTTAATTACCAGCAACAATAAAAAGTCATGATAAAGCATGCAATATTAAAGATGCCTTAATATGTATTCATTAGCATACTGAGTCCTGACCTCACTTGCTTATCGAGGTGGATATAGGAGAGTAAAGCTCGGCGTGTATACGTGTGTCACAGTCCTTGGTGTGTGTGTGTGTGTGTGTGTGTGTGTGTGTGTGTGTGTGTGTGTGTGTGTGTGTGTGTGTGTGTGTGTGTGTGTGTGTGTGTGTGTGTGTGTGTGTGTGTGTGTGTGTGTGTGTGTGTGTG